TTGCCTTCAAGTAGTAAAATGTTTTGTATTAATTACGTAATCAAGCCTCCTCCTACCCAACCTGCTTATCTTATTGACGTTTGAGTACGTTAGTGAGATGTTTTTTTCTGTGTACCTTCATGAATGCAGACACACACACACCAATTTCTAGGTTGATTTTGAAACGTTCGCCAAATGAGGCGGAGTAAAGATAGCTCTGGAATGTTGGACATTCAGGCCAATAGTTGTTACTATTATTATTATTTCCTTGGGTTACGAGTAGAACGTATGGTTTCAGCAGCACATCATCACCACTTCACTCTACATTGCTTTTTAACTGGCTCCACAACTGCCCAACAACATTAGCAGCAACAACAACAACAGACAACAATCAGCATAAATGGAAAGAACCTGAAAGAAACAACCTCTTTTACCTACCTACATGGGAAGCATCGTTTCAACTACAGGCGGAACTGACGAGGATATCAAAGCAAGAATTGGAAAAGCAAGACAAGCTTTCACTACTCTCAAGTCTGTGTGGAGGTCAACAGCACTCAGCATCAAAAATAAGATCCGGATTTTCAACTCCAATGTGAAGTCAGTGCTACTCACTATACGGATCAGAGACTTGCACTGCGCGTCATAAAGAGCAGCTCAAACAAACTACAGACCTTCATTAACAGATGTCTTCGCTCAATACTCAAGATCAGATGGCCGGTAAGAAAAGATCAGCAACAGAGATCTCTGGCAATGAGCGAACCAACCAGGAACCGATTGTGAAACAAATAGGCAGGAAGAAATGGAGATGGATTGGCTGGCCATACTTTGAGAAAACAAACCATCAAGTGACATCACTAGACAAGCCATTGCTCGAGTGGAACCCGAAAGGGAAGCGGCGAGTTGGTCGTCAGTGCAAGGGTGAGGGTGACTTGGAGGAGGTCATGTGAAGAGGAGATGAAAACGTGTGGGCAGACTTGGAGCCAGGTGAAGACTCTAGCAGAGAACCGAACGCAATGGAGACGCACGGCTGAAGCCCTATGTTCCTCTAGGAATTAAAGGAAACAATAATAATAATACAACTGCCCACAAACTTTTATTTCCGCCTCACACGATCCCCTCGAAGTCACAGTCCAACCCACGTCGTTTCCCATTCAGGTGCCACTCGACGATCTAGTTCGTGATGTTATTGAACGGTTTCCCCATCAATGTTTAAAAAAAATCATATTACTGATTAATTGGGATGAATATTTGTATACCATTTACATCAATCAGTAGTGCTTGCTAGCCAGATCGAAGTGTGATGCCAACATCGGATAGCCATTTCACTCGTTTGTGGCTGAGGTCATCAGTGATGTACCCGGTTTGATTCTTCTCAGAGATATCTGATTTCTGGATAGCTAGTCGGTCTACTTGTTATCCAGCAGGTCACATATTATGATCTGAATATTTTCGGTTTCCAAAGGAAACTACAGTGAAATGTCGATTTGCGAATTTGGTCTCCTTTCATATCTCCAGTCTGCATCTCATTCTCTATATTTTGTTCAGTGATAGATTCTTGGTTATAATTACCAAGAAAATTGTTTAGCAAGCAGTGGGAGTTTCACTATGAACCGAAACTCGCTTAAAGAGAAAAAAACAGTCCATTGAAAACATCTCTGTGGGGCTATTGATTCTTGCCTGATTATTTCAAGATCGCAGTTTGAATCTGACCGCTATCAGCTGTGAAAATCAACGAAATTCCTACCCCACCCCCACCCCCGAAAGAATTTAAACACCATCGAAATCCCATGTGTATTTTTGTTGTTGTTTTTTTTAGAGTAAACCTATATCCCAATTAATCCCACAAAAGAATGTCGATAAACAGTGATTAATTACCAAGTGTTGGTTTGCAGGGATCTGATTGGTCAGATTTCATCATGAGCTGACATCAGTAGAGGAACTGGGACTACTGGACAGCTGTTTTGCCTTAGCTTAGGACTCTTCAGGTGTACGCAGCCACCGGGGTCTGAAGCCAGGGGCTTCAGGTTACAAGACGAGCTCTCAGACCATTCGGCCACTGGGACCCAATCTCACCTTGTAACCGGAAGGTCCTGTGCTGCAACCACAATAGGTGCGTACCTCTGAAGAGAGTGCCAAACTAGGACGAGACAGTTATTTATTAGTAGTACCCAATGATTTTCCAATAGTTCTTTAACCCACGGAATATACACATTGGGTCATAGGAGTTATTAAAAAGACAATTGCTGCGAAGAAAATTTTCTTTTCGACGAAGTCATCATCTAGGCTGTACATTCGTGTATTTATATCAAATGGATGGGAAAGTTCCAGAATAATTTCCGGTTAAGGGTCAAATTAATAAAAATTACAATTAGGAATTAGTATGCCATAATAAACAGGGGGGACGGATAAAACTCAAACAAAGTAGCATTATAATAACTAAGAAGATTGACATTGTGCAATTGGGGGTTAGAAATGTAGAAATAACAAAATAGACAGGATGTTTGGATAAAAAATTAATGTGATGAATAATTGTTTATGCAATCAGGGATTAAATATGTAGAAATAGTAAAATAACAAAATAAAGAGGAAGTGTGGATATGAAAATATGGTAGTGTAGACAGGGATTAAGAAAAACTTAAAATAACATGAATAAACAGGAAGTTTAGATAAGAAAGGCGATGAGATCGTCATTACTAAAAAATTTACCTGTTTATGATGGCCATGGCAGGAACAGGGGTTGGACGTATTTCTTTTGGATACAAAGCGTGGGTTTGAGCTTTTGGATAGCTAGCGCCTCAGCTATGCCCAGATGTCTTGATTTGACTCCCTTTGATAGGTTTGATTGAATCTTGTATATTACTTTGAAGGATTTTTCGAAAGGCGCTGAATGTCCTGAGTTGACCAGATGTTCTGTCACTGAACTGTATACACGTTTTTAGTCTCCTTTTACTAGCCAGGCTGGGTAGTGTTCGAGAGCGCGTTTTTCAAGTCGGCGCATGGTACGGCCGATGTACTCAGCTCCACAAGAGCAAGTAAACTGGTATATGCACGTTGAGTTGGCCCAATGCGACAGCTTGTCTTTCACGTTCTGGCTGAACAGTTTCTTGCAAGAAAACGTCAGTCATAGGCTCGCGGCGAAGTATGTTTTCCTCAGCGATTTGGAGAGGCGTTTGCGAAGGATTTCTGCTTCAATATCACCTTTGAATTCTAGATTAAGCAGAAGTATTTTCTTTGGAACGGATTGAACTTGTTCGGAAGTCTTCTTAGATTTGAGATTCTTGTCTATGAACCTGGGTGGGAAACCGTTTTCCATCAGGGTTTTTCGGAGATTACGCAGTTCTTCTTCAATCACTTCCTCGCTGCATATCTTCCGAATCCTCGAGGAAAGAGCGTTCTTTAACCGATGGAACAATGATTACACAACCTTAATAATTAGAAGTAAATAACATTATTTCAGTAAAGTAAACAAACAACGACCTGGATGGCGCTGTTATTTATTACTTTCCTAAAGTTCACAGACTATATATATATATATATGTATATATATATATATATATGTATATTTGTTGATTTCCCCCTACAGTATATAGTACTTAGTGTTATTTTGGCTAATAGAGTTATGATTGCACTTTTCTTCTAACAGAGATAATTGTTTGCATAACAAAATCAAATAGACTAATATGAAATCCAATCGCTATAAGAACACCATTTTATTGGTTGAAAGAACAACGATTAAGAAAAATTTGATTAGTTGTGCATACTCTAACACCATTCATTCATTATTCATTATATTGATCTTATTATTTTTTGCTTGATAACAGTGTGATAACAGTAGTGTGCCTGATTAAAAAGTAGTATTGCCTGAGGAAATTATTTATTGTTACATAATGGTTAGTGCTATTTGTTTATTTTTGTTTTTTGTTGTTGGTGTTGTTAATTTTTGCTTTGAAATAATGTGTCGCCCACAATCCTCCTCCCTGCCAGAAAAAATATGTGTTGATCATTGTTTCTGCGGTTGGTGGGGGGGGGGGTAGTCAGTGATTTAGAATTCCTGAGGAATTCCATTTCTCTCACTTAACTCGACTAGAATAACAACATGTGATGTGTCTTTTAGACGAATAGATCCATTTGGAGTATTAATTTAGTTTGTATGCAAAGTTTTTTTCATACTACAGTATATCTAGTAAAAATACTTTAATGTCTGGTTAATATTATATTATCTACTATTCCCTTGGGTTCCGAGAGGAGCATAGGCTTTCAGAAGCATATCTCCATTTGATCTTCTTCTCTGAAGTCCTCTTTAGATGGATCCACCACCGCCGAAAAGCTTTCACCTCCTTGTTACACACGATCTCTTTAGTGTGGTGCCAAACTCAGTGCGTTTCCCATTCGAGTTCCCATCGAGAGTCTGATGTGTGATGTCATTCAACGGTCTTCTCAGTGTGTCCCCGATCCAACTCCATTTTCTTCTACAATTTTGTTGTACAATAGGTCCTTGGTTGGTTCGTTGTCTGTCAGAGTTCCTTGTTGCTTATCCTTTCTGGTGAGTCATCTGGTCTTCGTCATCGAGGCGGTGAAGATAGCTGTTGGTGAAAGTTTGTGGTAGCCTATTAGAAATGCTTTCCATGATGCGCCAAGTCTCTGAGACCATTCGCTGTCTGGTTAGACCTGTAATGAGTTTCAAACAGGTAGTCGTTTAAAAAAGTGACAGCTTCAAGAAACGACTCGTCTTAATGGTCATATTATCATAAGGTTGCATCGATCTTCATAAGGAGTGATATTGACCTTTGTGGGGTATAGGGCTTCGAGTTTGGACTTTGAAGTCTCAGCAGCAGTGGTGTTTGTTAAACGAGGTGGGCTGCTCATTCCATGCTCAATCTTCCCCTACGAACAGGTTTACTACCAGCTAAGCGTGGTTTAGAAGTGCGTCAACCAGGAATCGAACATTGGATCACTGACATTGATTTTATCGACAGAATTATATTTAATATTATCTTTATTTTCTTTTTGAAATTTTTTAGCCTGTTGATGATTTTGATCTTGATCATTGGGGTAACTTTGAACCAATTCATTCATTGGATGATCCATCTACAATGATGGAACAAATGGAGCGCAGAATGGAATCACTGAGACAAAAAATGGGAACAATGTCTAATTTTGGTACACCACATTTTTCTGGTCCTAATAGTTCTACTATGCAAACCTCAAGTTCTCGAGTTGTCTCATCAACTTCACACAGTGCTGGTAGTGATCCAAAAAATATGGTCACAAAGAGTAATGTTGTTGAATCGACACAGCATAAACGTATTGTGGATGGTGAAACCATAACCAGTTCAAGTCATTCTTCATCTTCATCGAATACAGCAGGAGCTGGTCCAACAGGAATTAAAAATAATGTGGTGCATATGCCAGAAACATTACTCTCACAAACAAGTGTACCTTCTGGTATGATGGATTTTTTAAAGGACGCCTATGAATTAGGAGATGATGGAAAAGTAAGCATTGTTTTAACCATAATTTTAAATATATATTTTTACGTTCTCTTTCTCTAATGAGTAATATTCAGACTAGACGTAGAGTGTTGGGTAAGGAGGGTAATTCAGTTGATGTAGTTGTGAAGCTAAATTGATTGAATTGGCTAGGACACGTGTTATGCATGACAGGTCACCACCGGCTTCCTCGACAAGCAGTGTTAGCTGACATCAGATTAGCTTAGAAAAGAGCTATGGGTAGTTGAACCAAAATCTGGCATCAGTCCATGACTGACTGACTGACTGGTTTCAACATTGCACCGATGTGCAGCAGTTCGAGTCGCCACACTCCACTCCATGTAGCACACAAAGCAAGAGAAGAAAGTAAAAAGAAATGCAAAACAGAGACAGTAAACAGGGATATGAGACAAAAAGAATAGTAATGTGGAAGAACAATAGAGTTTTATTGGGTATTATAAATCACAAGGAGTGGATGCATCTGCGCTAGCCACTGAGAAAGATTTCGAGCCATATCACCAATTGTCTGTCTCCAGTCTTGATTGGTTTTCACCATCCTGAGGACTCCAACCAGTCAAGAAGTCTATAGCTCCTTACGTGGGTGGCTGGCTTAAACTAACTGTTGTGGATTTCATTGACTGATGAAGCCATGTTTCGGTTTGACCACCACTGGCTGTTTTATCGGTCCATGAAATCTTAGTTGATTTGGGCCTCCGACTCAGACAAAGGTAGACTTCCTTGTTGAAGTCCTTGAGATGCTGAGAACCAACAGCTTCAGGCTATTGATGATTATTTAAATATTTTTATTCTTTTACGTTCCCAGTGTAGCATAGGGCTTCAAGCTAGAGACTTGAAGTTTCGGTAGCAGTGGTGTTTATTTTTAAGGGATGGAGTTGCTAGCCTCATGCCCAACCAACCTTCCCTCTTTACCAGTCTTATTACTGGCCTAGTAAGGTAAAGGAGTGCGTCTGTGGCCGGGGATCGAACCCCGAACCACATGAGGCGTAGTTGGTGAGCATTCTACCACTGTGCCATCGACTCTCGAAATTGTTCTCAATGGCTCAGATGCATTCAGTCTTTGTGAGATTCCCCAGATTCCATTAAGTCCTCAGGTTTCTCAATATTACTATTCTTTTTCCTATACACTTCTGCTTATCATAGTTCTCTTGAATATCTTTTTTCTCTACACCTTTGTGTGATACATGGAGTGTGGCCAATTAAAGTGCTGCCCTTCTGTGCAAAGTTTTATGCTGAAATTCAGTCGGTCAGTCAGTCAGTTAGTTTTAAATACTTACTCAATAACTTACTTGGGTATTGCTATGTGATGTAATCAATAAATAAACATGAGAAATCACAATTTTATAAGATAATATGATGTTGACCGTAATTAATGCTCACTATTTGTCTTAATTATGATGACCATTTCATCACTTCATGGAGTGTAATCGGATTAACTCTGCAGTTTTTAATATACGATTGACAACATGGGTCAGAGAGAGAGAAAGACGGCCAAGCTTGGTAATCGGAAATGCGGCTTGTTGTAGTCTTTACCGTAACGGGAGAAGACAAGAGTTTTGAAAGCGAGGAAAAACACATCATATTTATACATTCTCAGCCACATTAGAGTCCGGCTAGGTCAGAGGAGAATAAATTGTTCTGATTGGTTGGCAGTTGGCCCAAGGCTAAACAAGTTGTCCAATGAGGTTATTTTATGTCCACAACGTAAACTAAATCCATAAATAGACGCTTCTAACTCAGCAGCCATTGGCTTAAAATACTGATTTTAATTTTAGCCGCTTTTTATCAATCTGCCTCACTCCACACTACTTCTATTCTGCATTAACCACTCACTACAGAATACTGTCACTTCAACAAAGTTAATTTATCAACAGTTCAGCATTTTATTTCGATAGTGGTTTGTAGTCAGACATCTGCGAAAGTTAAAAATGTAGAGCAATGTCTTCTAGTTAACCATCTTACTGCAGCTCATAGTTTTATTTCAGTTTCAGTAACCACTCATTACACTGATAGTAGTCGAGAAGTGATATTATTTTTTTCCATCCCTTTTGCGTTCCGAGTGAAATATTACTATGTTTCAGTAACAATGGTGCTTTTGACCTTTAAGAGATGGTTAGCCTCACAGGCAACCACCCTTCTTACTTACCAGCTAATTAAGATTTAAAAGTGTTTCGACCGGGAAATCCTATTCAACCAGCGATGTATCCAGATAGTTTATCAAGTAAAGTTATACATCTCCCAAGAAGGAACACTTACTTAAAGAAAGAGAAAGAGAGACACGAGAAGGAATACACTACAAATATTAGAGAAGGCCTTACTAAGACAAGTATTTTATATTGTCGTTGAATATTGTGTTTTCAAATATTATTCCAGTTGGTGAGAATGTTGACATCCAGCAGTAAAGCTAACGCGAGAAACTGTTATGCTTATCAGTGCACTAACTACTGCACTACTCTATACCATTGCGCACAAAATAGAGTTTATCCAACAAATCTATGGTCATACTTGCCGACTTCGATTACAAGCCATGGATGTGGCACGTTAGCTAAACAGTTCATTAAAAACTGGTCTCGCTTCAGTTGACGTTAATTTTGTCTCAGCTATTATTGTTCTGAGACCTAAGTAACATACAAACACCTCATTAAATGTTTGAATCTTGCATGAAATCAATATTTTACAAATATTCACACTAATTATAAGTTTACACTAGTTGGAAAAAATTTTCCTTCTACTCAGTCGATAAGTTTATTAGTTAAAAACTAGATTTCACTACAAATTTGCATTGGTTAAAGAAGCGCTGAAAACATACCACAGGAGTATTGGATGGATATGACTGTTTCATTTCAGTTATGAACTCTTAAACAGTGTGCACAAATGGCTTCACAAAGGACAAAACAATATTCGACATTTACATTACTGTTCCAGCACGTTATCACTCAGTCACTCGGTTTGAATTCAGTGACGCAATGAATCCTAGCTTCTGTTATGATTTGAATAACCAATAATAAGACTATATTCTCCTAGGTATAGCTATAGTTTTTTCATTCCTTTTTGTTCCTAGTGGAATGTAGGACTTTTAAGCATGAGTCTTGAAGTTTCAGTGGCTGTGATGCTTTTCTCTTTTACGGATGGGTTTGCTTGCCTCGCACCTAACCTTACCTCTTTATCAGACCTACTACAGGTTAAGTGGAGTTTAGAGGTAAGTGGATGGGGAATCGAATCCTGGTCCGATTGCATGGTTGGTTTGCAATCTACTGGTAAACCAACTACATAGGACTAAGCATAATAGGCAATTCTAATGAATGACGAGAAAACACTTTCACTTATCAATGAAGACAGTGTTCGTCTTTATCTGAAGTAGGATGGTAAACAAACTATTAGGATTCTCAATGATGCATCTTCATGATGTTATGAAAGTGAAAGCTGGTCAGTGTGAAGCTGACGAAACTGAAGTCACTTCTGATAAAAAATCACTCTATTTATTATCATCATTCACTTCTTCGTAATATCTGGTTGTCGACCAAAGGGCGTGTGTACTGCTCAGCAGTTCGCTCTGTCCTCATTTATGTCTGTGAGACATGACCATTGAAAGTGGAAAACTTGAAAAGGCTGGCTAGCTGTCTTTGATCATAGATGTCTGCGTTCTATCTTCCGTGTTAGGTGGTACGATAGGGTGAGTAATATTGAGGTTAGGCTTTGGTCGAGTGCTAGGTAAGAAGGGGAAATCAATCGACGAGGTTGTGAAGTTACATCGATTGAGATGGTTAGGACATGTGTTGCGCATGCCTAGTCATCGGCTTCCTTGATGGGCGATATTAGCTGACATTGGATCAGGTTGGAAACATGGCTTCATCAGTCAATGAAATCAACAACAGTTAGTTTAAACCAGCCAGCCACGTAGGGAGGTGTAGACTTCCTGACTTGTTAAGGTCCTCGGGATGGTAAAAATCAATGAATGCTGGAGACATTGGTGATATGGCTCAAAATCGTTCTAACTGATGGCTGGTGCAGATGCATTCACTCTTTGTGATTTGCTATTTCCAATAAAATTTTATCCTTCCATATTTCTTTTCTTTTTGCCTCATATCTCTGTTTATTATCTCTCTTTTGAATCTCTCTTAACTCACTTCTCCTGCTTTGTGTGCCTCATAGAGTGTGGCAACTCGAACTGCTGTACATCTGTGCAAAGTTCTACGCTGAAAGCAGTCAGTCAGTCAGTCAATCTTCATTTATCCTAGATCAAAATAACCCCATGAAACTGTGTTTTATAGAAGAACACAAAATAAACCTACAATTATTGCATCAAAATAATGTAGATATTTATCCACAGATTTAAAAGTAAATAAACTCATAAATCATTTACCTAAGAAAAAAACAGATCGATAAGAAGGATTTTCTGTCCTTCATATTTTTTTGGATACTTTTGATCAATATTTATTTGGCGCCAATGTTGAAAATAAAAGCCAGAGTGATAAAGATACATGCGTATCCAGTTCCACTGATTACGTGACTTTAAAAGTACACTGACCATGTGTAAAGAGGACAAACTGATTGGAATCAAATGCTTTCTTTTGTTGTTTTTTCACTTTACTTAAGTTTATGCCTAATATTATATTAAGTGATAAGGCCATTGGTGTTTCAGTGGTAGTGGTGTCTGTCAGCTACGCGGGAGGTATGTGTTTGATTCCCGACTGATGCATTCCATAAACCTCCCCTAGTAGTTTACTAACTGGTAAAGTGAACTGGGAAAAAGAAGGGAGATTCGGTTTCAGGCTAGAAATCCAACTTCATTATAGAGACAAGACCACGGCTATTGAAAATTCAAAAGGAGTTTGAAGCCCTATGCCCCCCACTCAGAACACACAAGCAGTATGCTAGGATGGACAAGCTGCGGCGAAGTTAAAGTATCATCATAGCCAAAGTCAAGGTCCTTCAAAAGGTGACCTTCAAGGACCTATCAGACACAGGGAATGCTATGAAATGTCATT